ATAATATTTTATTGAATAGTTTTTTTATTTTTAAAAGAAAAAAAATGTGATTTAAGTTTTTTTTATAAGTTTAATCTTATTTATAGGTGTCCTTGGAACGTAATGTATATATATATATATATATATATGTTTGTGTGTGTTAAAAATTAAAGAAAACAAGACATTTTTTACTAAATTTAATAAATTTTTTAATATAATTTTAATACACCTTTTCAGTTAACCTTAGTATTAAAAAATGTCCTCACAACATTATTTAGCATTTGAGCAGTGGATTTTTTTTATTTTTTATTTTTTCTGTATACCATAGGGTTTATTTAAATCTAAGCTAAACATAAGTACAATGATAACTTGTAGATTAGCTGTTTTATACTATCAAGTGTGTTTGGTTTTAGTTTTTTGAAAATTGAGTTTTTTGTTTTTCGATTTTTTTTTTGTTTTTAGTGAAATTTTTTAAAATTTTAAGCAATTTTTTATTTTTATTTTTTTAGATACACCTTACTTAGATGTATCTAAATAATAAAATATTTGTAAAAAAATATTTTAAAAAATAATAAATACACAAAAATAAGAAAAATGTATTTAAATTTTTTTTATTTTGATATTTAATGAATTTTTTGAAGATTTTTTTTGCCAATATTATACTTTTTAAATGTATTTATGTTAGGTATGTCTAAAAAAAAATTTTAAAAAAAATTTGCTTAAAATGTTAAAAAAATTAATTGAAAACAAAAAAAATAAAGAAAATTAAAAAAAAAATAGAATTTTCTAAGTGCATGTGCATGAAATAGAGAAATAAGACAATGTCTTAAAGCAAACAAAGCCCCTATATTTTGGAAAAGAAAACTGAACATTCAAACCATAATAAATGAAAAGGAAAAGAAATTAGTGTGTTTGGTTTCAATTTTTTCAATTTAATTTTCTGAAAATTAAATATTTTATTTTTCTAGCTTTTTTTTTAGAGAATGTTTTTAAATTTTAAGCAATTTTTTTTAAAAGTTTTTAGATTCACCTTATTTAAATGTATCTAAATAGTAAAATATTTGTAAAAAAATATTTTAAGAAATTAATAAATATACAAAAATATAAAAAATGTATCGAATTTTTGTTTTTTTTTTTATATTTTTGGTGTTCAGTAAATTTTTTAAAGATTTTTTTCTTAAATATTACACTTTTTAAGTGTATTTATATTATGTGTGTCTAAAAATAAAAATAAAAATTACTTAAAATATTAAAAAAATTTAGTGAAAATAAAAAAATATGAAAAACGAAAAATTAAATTTTTTGAAAAATAAATTCTAGAAATGGAAACCAAACAGAGTAAATGTTTCCTATAGTCATCTGGTGGTCTTTGTATGATATACAAAAGATATATACACAGGAGCCCACCTAATTAATGGACAATTCTTTTTTTTTTAGGCTAAACATTGATGGACAGTTGAGGTTTCATAATCAAGTGTTTTTTTAGTAAGAAATTAATGGGTACATAAATATAGTAGAGTTGATTCTCTAGGATTTTCCTAAATGATTCCAAACGATGTGGTTTTAATTAAGGTAAAAAAACAAACAAGCAGGCTTTTCCCTTTCTCCTCCTCTGTTCACTGATTATATCTACTCAGACTTCTCCTTCGTCGGCTGTCGAGCTATGCCCAATCCTCTTCTTCACCTACTCCTCCTTTCCAATAATTCCATAAGTTAAATTTCTTTTACCTTCCCAAAAGAGACTTATAGATAACAATCGCTAACTCCGAAGGCAAAATTTCAAAAGCAACAAATTAAAAGGCATAGCCAACAAATGAACCTATTAGGCTACTATTATTTTTATATTCTAGTTAGGAGTGATTGCGGATCGGGTTGGGTCAAGTGGCATCTCATTCGTCGTCTGTCTAAAATTAGGAGGATTGAAAAAATTAATTCGCATTCGTCTACCAATTTGGCATATACGAATTGAGCGGGCCGTGGGATTGATGAATAGATTGTCACACCCTAACTTTTATTATTCGAATCCATTACCGAATCCATTATAATAGTTCCATTTAGTTGAGAACATGAACCAGAATAAATAATAACATTCTCTCACGGCAACAATGATGATATAAATAAAACATGGTACAATGCCCTTAGGCTTACATTGAATAACAATAAATACAACAAAAGGAATTTGCCATTATATAGTACATGGCACATGGCCAATAAGTAAAGGGCCCCGTGGCCAACAATTTAAAGACTTTAAGTCATACGCGATTCCTCCAGCCTTGTACCTTAAAAAGTTTATCAACCCTTGGGATAAGCACTAAGCCCAGTAAAGATCCCAAATATTCTAACCAATAACAACATATAGATAAAAATGATCATGAATGCATCAAGACATACCATATAAGTAGTGTGACATTTAATAGCCAAAATATACACATATAACTGTGTTTATCTCAAAACAATCCTCTTAACACAATTCAGTATAAAACCATTTCTTCTCTTTTACATTCCCATCATTACATCCAAAAGAAAATGTTTTAAAACCTCATTCTTTCTTTGATAAAACTTCTCACGTTAATATAAAATAATCCCACTTAAACAACCGTTTTGAAAATATTACCCCACATCATAATCCCCATCCTACCTCTCAATACACCATAAGCATTTACATCTATATATATATATATATATATATCTACAACCTTCCATGACCATAGGTCCAAGGATTTAAAAAGAACTGGTATAAAACCGTTTACACATATATACATTCAAACGAGATATCCGAAGTATACATACTACCAATCTCATCTCCACAATATGAAAACCGACAACACGTATAAATATCCAAACGAGATAACTGAAGTAATACACACTACCAATCTCCTCTCTACCGCCCTACAGCACGGATGATAGATCCAACAATACCAATAACACATAACACTTTACCGGCCTCACCCGGAAGGAGGTGCTCCTTGGGTTATACTTGACCTGGCGGAAACCAAAAGGGAACGAAGAACCTATCACAATGCGCCATGCTTTGCCGACTAAGATACGGCGGGAAACAGATCCCCTTTTCACACTTTACCATGCCCAAACCGGACGGGATAAGGAAACTTCTATCAAGGCGCCACGCTTTGCCGGCACAACACGGCGGGTAATGGACCCCCAAACATCATCACAGTAAAAATATAATCATGCTAACCAACATCAATAATACACGGTTAAATACATACACCTAGTTCGATCACTACCATAACACTCAGTATCAGTTAATTGCATTAACTCATTTCTTTTAAAACATACTCCGCGAACCACCGTTTCACACAGGTTTTCCTTTATTTCAAGCATTCCCAAAACACTTCATGGGGTACTTAACATCAAGACCTTATATAGATGCGCAAATCGCTCGAGCGCAAGAAGTGATGCTCGAGCGTCCAGACACAAAAAGTGCGACCACTCGAGAACAAGAAGTATCGCTCGAGTGTAGAATACAAGACCACTGCTCGAGCACAAGAAGCATCGCTCGAGCGAACACCACACAAGCGCAAGAATGGCTGCTCGAGTAAAGAATAACAACTCCCAATATCTCTATAGACCTGCAAAAGTGCTAGAAGTTCACAATGACTGCTCAAGCGCAGAAGAAAATTCTGGGCAACAACAGCTTGAGAAACAAGTCACCAACATGTTCCCAACGCAAACAAGACACTCCAATAACCAAACCCGATAAACAATGAGCAGAAGCAAGACATGAACAACCATAAAAGGTAATGAAACCCGGATCCAAAATATCAATGGGTCAGATTCAAACTAGGGTCGCTATATGGATACGATCAGTTTAGCGGTTTGGATTTTACAAATTTTGGACATTTTTTTTTAATTATAATTCATTAATTTTACAATCTCCAACAACTAGCCATTTGAAAAAATAAGTGTTATTTGTCCATAATAAATCATGGCACCACACATGCATGTTTTTACAGTATTATTTTTCATTTTTATAAAAATATATATTTTATTATTTGTATTTTATGTTGTTACTTGTTAGCATTTTTTTTTTTTTTTGAACTTCATCTACAAGCAGATCGAGTTCATGCAGGTGTGAGACGGTTGATCCGCCATCCAAACCATATCCGCAAATTTTGAAATATTTCATCTGCATCCGTTCGTTAAAAAATACATATCCGCCCAAAATCAATTGAGTTGAATCGGATCGGATCGAGTTGAACAGGTTGGACAGATCTATGATCACTCCTAATTCTAGCTATGATGCTAATTAAGGTGAAAAACAAACAAATAAACAAACAAACAGGTCTTTCTCCTCCTCCTCCTCCTCCTCCGTCCGCCGATGATATCGGCCTAGACTCCTCCTTCGTCAGCTGGCAAGCTCAGCCAAATACCCTCATTCGCCTACTCCTCATTTCCAATAATGTTAAGATATTTAATCGTTTGTTTTCAATAATTCCTATTTGTTAGGAAGTCTGTTGTTTTTACCTATTCCTTAGGAGAATCCCAGATTATTAGGAGTTGTTAGTCGTGGGATTAGACGTTGCTTTATTTTCTAGCTTTCCTTTATTTGCATTTGTATTTAATTAGACTTCATATTAATGAATCAGTATGGCATTCCTTTTTTCTGCAACAAACTCAGTTTTAGTTTTCAACAATTGGTATCAAAGCCCCCCACTAGGGCTTGATTTGAAAAAGCAACAGCTTTCATTCTTGCTGCAGCAAGATATTCAATGGCTTCTGAAAACAGCTTTGTGCAACCTGCGATTCCATGCTTCGATGGTCACTATGACCATTGGAGTATGTTGATGGAAAATTCTCTGCGATCCAAGGAGTACTGGACTCTCGTAGAAATCGGCATCATTGAGCCCGCTAGTGAGACTGTTTTGATAAAAGCGCAGAGAAAGACATTGGAGGATCAGAGATTAAAGGATTTGAAGACAAAGAATTATTTGTTTCAAGCAATAGATCGTGCCATTCTCGAAACCATCCTAAAGGACACTACTAAAGACATCTAAGATTCGATGAATAAGAAGTACCAAGGCACTGCACGAGTGAAACGTGCACAATACCAAGCTCTTTGCAAAGAATTTGAAATTCTTCACATGATGGAAGGAGAGTCGATTAATGATTACTTTGCAAGAACATTGTCAATTGCAAACAAGATGCGCATTCATGGAGAAAATTTGGAAGATGTTGCAGTCATTAAGAAAATCCTTCGCTCATTGACACGCAAATTTGACTATATAGTGTGTTCCATTGAAGAATCGAATGACATTAATAGTCTTTCGATTGATGTGTTGCAAAGATCACTATTAGTTCATGAGCAAAGTATGACCAACCATGTTGTGGAGGAGCAAGCCTTAAATATCATTACTCATGAAGGAACTACTTCTCCAGGAAGAGGTAGAGGATGTAGGGGATTTCGAGGAAAAGGTAGAGGTAGAGGATGCCAACTTTCTTAAAATCAAGGAGCACAATTTGACAAGGCGAGTGTGGAATGCTATCACTGTCACAAGCTTGGCCACTATTAGTATGAATGCCCTGACAAAGAGAAGGAAACCAAGGTAAATTTCGCTGAGATTGAAAAGGAAATGCTTTTGATGGCTTACATCGACAAGAAGGAGAATTCATCAAGTGACACTTTGTATTTAGATTCGGGTTGCAGCAATCACATGTGTGGAAACATGTCTTTGTTCTATGATTTGGATGAAACATTCAGAGAAACTTTGAAGCTCGGGAACAACTCCTGCATTTCTGTCATGGGGAAAAGGGATATCAAATTCCATATGAAAAACAACACTGTGTATACAATTCCTAGTGTGTTTTATATCCCAGATTTGAAAAGCAATCTCATCAGTATGGGCCAACTGCAAAAGAGGGGTTATATCATCATCATCATCCAACAAAGCCGGTGTCAAATTCATTATTCAAAGAAGGCCTAATAGCAAAAGCAAAAATGACAGCCAATCGTATGTTCTTTCTGCACATTCAGTATGATGCCCAGAAGTGTCTCTCAACAAGAGTGCAAGATCCAACATGGTTGTGGCATCTTCGTTATGGTCATTTGAGTTTCAAAGGCTTGAAAACCCTACATGAGAAGAGCATGGTGGAAGGACTGCCTAAGATTAATTGTCCCACAGAAAATGTGTGAAGATTGTATCGTTGGTAAACAACATCGTGATTCTTTCCAGCAAGGAAAAGCATGGAGAGCTGAGCAAATCTTACAGTTGGTTCATTCAGACATTTGTGGACTAATCAATCCAATATTGAATGAAAACAAAAGGTACTTCATTACCTTCATTGATGATTATAGTTGAAAAACATAGGTTTATTTCTTGCAAGAGAAATCTGAAGCTTTTAGTGTTTTTAAAAGCTTTAAGGCTCGAGTTGAAAAAGAATCTGGCAAGTACATTCAGATCCTTTGTACAGATCGTGGTGGTGAATTTAACTTACATAACTTTGCAAGTTTTTGTGAATTGCATGGAATACAGAGGAAACTTACTGCTGCATACACACCGCAGCAAAACGGGGTGGCAGAAAGAAATAATCAAGAACATGGTGCGTAGCATGTTGGTGAAAAAAAAAATATTCTGAAGACTTTCTGGCCAGAAGCAGTCAATTGGAGTGTTCATGTACTCAACCGAAGCCCTACCCTTGTAAAAAACATAACAACACAAGAAACTTGGAATGAAGTCAGGCCATGAGTTGATTACTTCAGAATCTTCAAGTGTATAGTTTATGCACATGTTCCAAATGAAAACAGAACAAAGCTTGATAATAAAAGTGTGAAGTGTGTCTTTATTGGGGTTAGTAAGGAATCCAAGATGTACCGGTTATATAATCCCATTACCAAGAAAACAATCATTAGTCGAAATGTTCTGTTTGATGAAGAAAACACATGGGATTGGAGCAACACAGGAACAACAACAAATTTTAACTGATGTTGAGGAAATTGGTGAGGAAATTAAACAGCCACTGTAACCTCCTCTTGAAAGTCAGGGGTCTAAATCACAATTGTAGCTTCCTGGTCAGTCCCTTGGAGAAGTTTCACCAAGTTCCTCAACAAGTGTTTCAATTCCAAATGATGATTAGGCATCTAACTTAGAACCACAACGACAAAGGAAAAGACCATCTTGGATGATAGATTATGTGAGTGGAGATGAATTATCTAATGAGGATACTACTGCTCATTTTGCTTTATTTGCATGCTCCGATCTTATATTGTTTGCAGAACTAATGAAAGAAGAAAAGTGGAAAAAAGCTATGGATGCAGAGATTTAAGCTATAGAGAAGAATGAGACTTGGGAGCTAACCAATCTTCCTGAGGGGCAAAAAACCATTGGTGTAAAGTAGGTTTATAAGATGAAGCTGAATGAAAAGGGAGAAAATTGACAAGTTCAAAGCAAGGCTGGTTGTGAAAGGCTACAATCAAGAGCACGAAGTTGATTATCAAGAGGTTTTTGCTCTTGTTGCAAGATAGGATACAATTCAGCAGGTGGTTTCTTAAATATTATACTTTTTAAGTGTATTTATGTTATGTATTTCTAAAATTTAAAAAAAAAATACTTAAAATATTAAAAAAAATTCAGTGAAAACAAGAAAATAAGAAAAACGAAAAACGAAAAATTAAATTTTTTGAAAAATAAATTCTAGAAATGGAAACCAAACAAAGTAAATGTTTCATGTAGTCATCTGGTGGTCTTTGTATGATATACAAAAGATATATATGCGGGAGCCCACCCCAATTAATAGATAGTTCTTTTTCTTTTTTGCTAAACATTGATGGATAGTTGAGGTTTCATAATCAAGTGTTTTTTTAGTATGAAATTAATGGTACATAAATGTAGTAGAGTTGATTCTTTAGGATTTTCCTAAATGATCCCAATCGATGTGGTTTTAATTAAGATAAAAAGCAAACAAGCAGGCTTTTCCCTTTCTCCTCTTCCGTCCACCGATTATACCAACCCAGACCTCTCCTCCGTTGGCTGGCGAGCTCCACCCAATCCACCCCTTCAGCTACTCCTCATTTCCAATGTTTGTTTTTGAAAACAAAAAAAATATCTATAGAAAATAAAAAAATAGAATTTCCTGACTGCATGTGCATGAAATAGAGAAATAAGAAAATTTCTTGAAACATTCAAATAGAAAGGAAAAGAAACTAGTGTGTTTAGTTTCAATTTTTTGAATTTAATTTTTTGAAAATTGAGTTTTTTTTTCATGTTTTTTTTTTTGAGAATATTTTTAAAATTTAAGTTTTTCAACAGTTGGTATCAAAGCCCCCCACTAGGGCTTGATTTGAAAAAGTAGCAGCTTTCATTTTTGCCGTAACAAGACATTCAATGGCTTCTAAAAACAGCTTTGTGCAACCTGCAATTCCACGCTTCGACGGTTAGTACCATTGGAGTATGTTGATGGAAAATTTTATGCGATCCAAGGAGTACTGGACTCTCGTGGAAACCGGCATTGTTGAGCCCGCTAGTGAGACTATTTGACAAAAGCGCAGAGAAAGACATTGGAGATAATTAGAGGAAAGTTTCATTGAATGATATATATATTTACATCATTATATTTATTGTAGACATATATATCCTTTTGGTAGAGATTTGCAGGACAATCATAGAGATTTTTTTCCTTTTACCGTAGCATTTATTGATTTAATTTTGGTTTTGATTTTTTTAACAAGCTAGGAGATGAAAAGAATTGTGTGAAAGGTGGTGCTCGGGCAAAATTAATTTTGGTTTTAATTTTGGTTTTGGTTTTGAGCACGAAGTTCTCGAGAAATTATTCATTGGTGCCCGGGCAGGGATCACATGTCTGAGGTGGTGCCCCACACCTATCATAACTAGCCTTGTCATGCATGATGTGGCAAAGTTATTAACATACAGCTAAGTTGGAACATTATATGATTAGCTAAGTTGGCATATTATATGATTGGTGTGGGGCACCACCTAGGGCGTGTGACCTGCTGCCCTAAGACCAATGAATAATTTCTCAAAGTTCACCCTCTTTTTCTTGCCATTTAATTGGGGATCTGTGAATTTCTTTTTATAGGTAATTTTGTATTTTCAGTGTAAAAAAATTGTGTGAAAGGTCATAATTTTTTATTGAACAATTTTTTTATTTTGAAAATAAAAAATTTGTGATTTGAGTGTCCTTAGAACACAAAATATATATATATATATATATATATAAAGAATTAAAGAAAAGAAGATATGTTTTACTAAGGTCTCGTTTGGCAAGTGACTTTTTTAGTCAAAAAGTCAATAACCGATACCAAAAAGTCAAATAGTCCATTTTCTCTCTACTTTTTGCACATCTTTTCGTAAAAAGTCAAAAAGTCATTCCAAACATACTAGTTTTTTTTACATCACATTTTAGCTAAAAAGCCAAAAAGTTATTAAAAAAATTTGTTCTCAAACGAGGCCTAAATTTAATAAATTTTTTGATATAATTTTAATGCACCTTTTCAATTTAATCTGAGTTAGGGATGGCCATTTAAATCCAATCTGAGGGGGCCTCGCCCATACCCATCCGAATGGGGCGGATTTTACCAGCCCCGACACTTATGTAGGGCAGGGGTGGATTATGTTTTGGTCACCCGCAACGGGGGTGGGGCGGGGTCGAGCATCGCTTCCCCTGATCCAAGCCCGACCCAATATAATTAATAATATATGTATATATATATATAATATAATATAATTAGATATAAGAAAATAATATTAAAAGTCTATGATTTTTTTTAAATATAAATAAATAATAATTTTAAAAGTCTCACTGTTTATATATATGAAAATAAAAAAAAATATTTAGTGTGTTAAGAATTTAAATGATTCTTAATTATTTTGATAATTAAAATGTGATCGGATATTTGCGGGTATCCGCGAGGGTGGGGGTGGGGTTGAAAAATTGGGTCTGGCTTTGGTCCAGTCCACCATCGGACTGGATCATGCTGTTGGGCCTGTGGGGACCTATCACGGGTCCCGTTTTAAAAATCTGAACCGTTTAATGTGTAGAACTCTTCGAGTACTATATGCCTATAAAAAATCACGTTGATCGGATATCGATAGTTATGTGATCAAATCAGTTTTTTGTCAACCGTTAATTTATTCACCGTCCATTTTTTTTATACAAAACTAATTTGATCACATAGCTATCGATATCCGATCAACGTGATTTTTTACAGACATATAGTACTCGAAGAGTTCTACACATTTGACGGTTCAAATTTTCAAAACGAGACCCGTGATGGACTCCCACGAACCCAATAGAACGGTCCAGTCCGATGATGGACTGGACCAAAGCCAGACCCTAAAAAATTCTACCCGTAGCATTGTTGGTGGAGATGGGGGTAAGGAATAGTAAACCCACTCCAAATCCGTCCCGTAATCAACCTTAATCTCAATATTAAAAAATGTCTAACAACATTATTTACCATTTGAGCAGTGGAAAATGAGTCATATATTTACGACTGCGAAGAGTTATTATTTCTAAATATTGTCAAAGGTGCTTTGGCATTTAAAACGTCGATAATTACACTCAAGTATCCAAATGGAGGAAGATTCCCTCCCCTCTATAATTTAGACTGATTACTTTGTTTGGACATGCGGGATGATTATAAGTTTCATTTTTGTGATGTGAATTGTTTATTTTATTGGGTATTTTTTTATATTTTATTATAAAAATTTTAAATTAATGTTATAATTATAATTTATTTAATTTATCATATTTCTCAACAAAAAAAAATTAAATAATAATTGTATTTTTAAAAGTAAATTATCTATTTTTTAATGATAAATACGATAAATTAAATAAGTTATGATTATTAAATTGACTTAATTTTTTTAAATAAAATATACAAAATATTCTACAAAATAAATAATTTAAATTATTAAAACGAAACCTATAATCAGCCTCATAAGGAATTGAGGTGGCTGTTGTGCGG